GTTCGCCGGTACCCATTTATACACCTGGGTGGAGAGAGGCACTGTGAGAGTAAAGTGTCTTGCCCAAGAACACAACACAATGTCCCCGGCCATGCGTGAATAAATGTACTAAAATTGTACTCTCTTATCGACTATTTCATCTACATCAATCCTCCTGCGTTGTATTTGTGTTCGAATTTTGCGTCGTGCTAATATTAATCCCTCGACAGTAAAGGTTTATAAGATCGCAGCTTGAGTTAATTTATTTGTTGCGGGTTTCCGTGATAAGGTTTTATTTAATACACGATTAGACGGAAAAATTTAAAGTTCCCCTACGCGTAAAATTCCTATGACTAATCGGCATCACCTTGCCTTGTTTAGTTTCAATCTAAATAATTTTTCTATGATTTCTTTGTTATTCTTCAGGTACATTCATTCTGATTTGTTTTAATTTATTTTATCTTTGCTTATTTCACATCTCTTGACTGTAAAGACGAGTAAATGATAAGACATATCAGTCGCTAAGTGAATTTTGATTGATGAGAAATGGAGCATGATCCTTCTTAGTTGTTATATTCTCGAATGTTTGTTACCTCACTTTCAATTTCCTTTTGATTAACCGAAGTAAATTACGCTCTTGTTGGTTGTCGAATCTGACCGCCAATGGAAATTAAGTCACCACAACGTCTGTCGAGCATCGTTTACCGTCTATTGCACAAAGATTCCTTATCCTATTATTTCGCAATTGTTCTCTTTATCTCTAGTCAATAAAATTTGCTTCCCGTCTGGAGTTATATTATGTTCGGTTAATTATTTCCGAAACATGTGTGCGTGACATTTATTTACTAACACAGGGTGGTGCCGGATATCACGTACGCTAAGTATTAATTACAAGGGTCATAGTCACCAGCGCATAGCACGCATAGCATATAAGCCACGAGACGAGCGGTGGGGGTTAACTGAATACAGTATAAGTGATTGTTGTAACACGGACGAAGGCGAGTGTAAGGATATGAGAGGAGACATAAGCGCAGGACTTCCTTTTGATCCTGGCTCAATACCGGGAGATAATTCCCGTACACTTCTTTGAAACTATTTTTTCGTTCTACCTTCTCACATCGTCCATTAGACCCAATTTTAGCTGTTTTGTTTAGGCTCCTCTCAAAAGAAGACACTCTTTCTTCCGATATCTCTTTTATGTTCTAAAGTCAACTTTCAAGGCCCCTTGATTACGTCGAAGATGTCACTTCATACGAAATCTCTTTTTTTATTGTTTGCTACTTGACAAAAGAGCAAAGAAAAAGAAAACAGTTTTTACCTCCAGCTATGTCCTCTTGTCAAAGCGAAATTTGTTTAGCGTTGTCAATACGGTGTCATCATGGTCAGTCTGCGTGGCTAGCACTTAACAAATGTATTGACACATGACTGAATTTCCAAGGCGTTTCCCAGTTGTAATAAAGGTAGTATTGTTTTATGAAAGATGTAAATAATTTTTGTTTGTTTTTTTGTCGTCTGTCGATCCAGTTTCTGCATATAAGCAAAGAAATTGCTTAATTGTGTAAACTCTTTGAAGTATTTACATGTGATTACTATGTGACATAGTCAAATATTTTCTTTGACCGCCTCCTGTGCCGCCTTAGAGACGCTCAAAGAACAATTGAATTTGCCAACTTTGACTAGTCAAGGCAGTATTACGTTTAAAATACGTAAACTAAGTTCTCTTTCTTCCGTCCCTTTCCACGACAGGGAATATTGTTCTTACCAGACGGAATTAATATCTTTGGTATAGTTTCTCTTTTTCTACAGCCTAATTGCTTTGACCAGCGTGGGACACACTTAGCATAAGTAGAAATTGTGTGCAATGCCACATAACGCAGGAAGGGGCACAATACTAAATTTTCACGTTTTTGTCCAAGATTGTTATTTTATTATATTACTTTCTGATTGTTTAGTTCGGCGAAACCAAGGGTAAGAGACGCACGCGCGTGATTGTAAATGACAGGTGCCTATAAAGGTGAGTGATTATTCGTCAACACAAAAATTATTTTTACCTACAGACACGTTTTGACTCGTCACGCAATCAGTGATGGCGAAATGCACAAATGGGTAGGAGGCCATCAAGAAACCGCATTTCGGCTTGTCATTTATTTCTGTCGCGTGGAGACAACGACTCGGTACATGATACACAGCATGATGACACTCTACACTAATTTGCTCTCGAGTTTCGCGATTTTTCTAGGATTTTTGAAGATCCCGCAAGAACGATATTATTCCAGCACTGATATTTACCGATATTTATCGTAATAGCACTGTTTTAGTTGTATGCGAGCTAAATTAAGTAATAAGCAAGACTCCCAAAGTAGTATCTCATACTTGGTCTGTTATCCAGTGTTATCTTGTTGCAAATCACCCCCAAATTGTCGATCCTCAAAAAATGAAATCCTTAAGAATTTATAATTTGTGACAAGTCCTGAAAACCAGTTGATAATTGAATGCCAACACATTTTAGCCTAGGTGTCGTCATTTTATTTTGACGGCTTGAGTGATTTAGCTTTTGTATTGGTATATCCGGCAAACTGACTCACAAGATGTAAATGTATTTAAAAATCGCAAGATGTATGTGCGATGTAAAAATGATTTCGTTCAGAAACTAGAATTTTGAAGTAAAAATTACCACTGGTCGTTAGAAATGAAGATGATTTCTTCCATTCGCGGATAAATTGTGTAAAGTAACTTCCTGAGCGTAGGAATCATAATAATAAAGAGCGTGACTTCGTGAGCACTTCCGCTATCAAGTTCCGACTGGTATTGCACAATCGACATCATTTGAATGCGAGAATCATGATAACTTCTCTCAGGTGAGTTTCGAAATCGCATTTCCTGAAGACCGATAAAAAAAAAATCGTAAAGAAATAATCTACATGCGGTTTCCTGTTCCTGTCGTTCTAACATATCTCCTTCATCAGGTTGCTACGTGAAAAGAAGAACGTGCACTCTAGAATTTCGACCTTTGTAAAACTATGATTCTTCCGGTCGTTAGGAAGGAGAGAAATCCTTAATATTTTAAAGAAACCTCTGAACACGTCATTTATAATAGTCTTCTTGCTGCTTGATTGGAGATAAATTCAGGACTCGTCTTCATTTCCCTTAGGCCTAATTTATGCCAGCTGAATTTTAGTTTAAATAATCACGTAAAACCTCGGCCTTGCTACTTTGCAACATTTCAGTAACACAACTGTGTACCTACGCGAAAAGATCCCTATTACATTATGATAGCCCTCCCAGTTGTACAAACCCGAAGTGGAATAAAATACAAAGCGGACGCATCTTATATGAAACGGCATTACTTGGTTGGTCACGTAACTTCGCTGCGTATATATGCGTGGGCGGCTAAACATAATATTCAAATACCCGCCCACCACTCAACGGAAGTGAAGCATGTAAGACCGTCAAGTTCAACAAACTTCCTTTCTAAGTAGTACTTAACAGAAATTCCAAGGGAAGTTCAGCAAAATGGATCCCAAATCATTCCAAGATTCTCAGAACAACAACTCACGGGCCAATTTTTGCCGTGTTAACTGCACCATTGACACCGTCTTGGAAGAAACGCTTAGCGATATCGACGAGTTTATTCAGTCTGAGCTGGGGTTTGCACCTCTAATTGCTACTGAACCATTAACAGCCGCAGAGTTACACGATTTAAGCTCCCTTCTGCAAAATCGGCAATCGTCGGAAGAATCAGTCTTGGGTAATACGCTAGGTGAGAACAAGTTTCATTAGCTTATCGTATGTTGTAGGTATTTGGTACATGTACAGCAGAGCGCAGGCTATAGCTAACTGAAGCAGTCGACGAAGCCTTGCCGCTTTTTGTAGTCTATGTAATCTGTGAAACAACTACCATTGTTGCACCCATGCACTAGTTTTTCTTTTTGAGCGAGAGTCGTATCATGACACAAATAAGATGAAATATTTTGATTTCAGCAGCGAAACGAGAACACGACTGAATGCAATGCAAAACTAATCGGCTCAACTAACATAGATTTTCAGAACTATTTATGTCAGACTAACAAGAAGTCGTTAGCATTTCATAAAATTCTAGGGAAAAAATTACATCATTAAATCTAGTTCCTTTAGCTACGAAAATAGTTCCTAGTTAAGAAGTGATAGCTTTCTTGAGCATTTTGACCGTCTCGATAGCTCTGGTGAAATGTGGTTATGATTTGCAGGAAACGGCGAGGCAGCCAGCATCGTGTCCAGTCCTGAGTCGTCAAACAAGGTTTCTGAAGTTGACGTGGAAATTTTGATAATGGGCCTCAAAGATGTTTACGACAAAAAGACCAAGAAAACTAACGAAGGATTAGAATATCGCTTGGAAAACTCGGAAGTGACAGTTGTGATCCGAGCATCTGATGAAATCACCAGTGTTCGTGCTTATACTCAGAGATGTGCCGAAGCTGCGATTAGAACACACGATACCATTGGTAGGGGTTCTTGAGTGATAATGTTTGTAGTAATCCTCGCTTAATCGTCGTTAAATTACTTAGCTATAATGTATGAATATATATTACTGATATATAATTTAGTATATTGAGCCAGGTTATAATATAATAATACACGTTTTTGTACCTATAGGTCCAGTTGAACTAGATGTAAATATTCTCCAAAGCGACCCAAGATGTCGAGTTGTCTCGGTGGATCTTGGGTCGGTGTACAAGACACAGGAAGGAGATCCAGTGTACTGGCTAGAAAAGGCAGAAGTCATGCAAAGGAACAAATGGGAAATGGTTATTGCAATGGAATTTAGTTCAGGCTTCAAAGGAACTGTTACGTCAGAAGCGTTCAGAGTTACGACCAAAGCAAGTTATAAGATGAGACGAAATGGAGGTTTGTGTAGTACTTAATACAGGAACGAGTGATAGATCGCATTTAAGAGCCACAGAATATATGCAATGTCGATAGTGCAACTGAGTCTAAAGAATGCAGTAGTAAAAAGTAGAGAAAGTATGTTGTAATGCTAAAGGAGAGGTTATTTCTGGAGGGGCAAGATTTGAGCGCATTGTTGATACAATGTCATACAAATACATGCGAACAGCAACGTAAACGCTTGCATCTCCAGTCTTCAATTCACGCTTTTCGAAATCATGATTGTGATGAACTGATGGGATCAAGAATCAATCTGATATAACCGAACTGTAGTTTGAAATGCCGCAAGGAAGGTAATTGGTGTAACATAGTAAGTAGAAAATTTAAAGCTTGATCGCTCCAGACGTTCGTAGAGACGGGTACCAGCCCCGGCTTTTGCACTGAAGTTGCTCCAACGTCCAACTCAAATTTTCTGGCACTGCATTTTCTATCGATTTTGTTTTTTAAGCGTTTGACGTGCACCTCGCTCATAGATTGTAGTACAATTTGGTCGTATAACTAGTTGAAATGTGTTAGTATGAATTGCTCTTAGTAAGATAAACTTTGTTTTCTTTTCAGATGTGCCAAGTTGCGGTAACGTGCAGCGTTTATTCCGTAAAATCAATTCGTCCACTAGCCATGAGGACACGGGTATTCCTTTTCATCTAAACCGTGGAATTAAAAAAGGTTTGTTGATGAATGTGGTTTGATTTTGTATTTTGTTGTGTGTTTGTGAATGTGTCATTGAACATCTCGGCAGTGATGATCGTAGGTGCGACTGAACGTGAAAGCCCGTTGAAATGAAGTATACATTTCGTATATAGACACCATTATAGCTTCGTATATATCTCACTTTACAGCATTTTGCTCGCGTCACGCCTGCTCCCGTAAGAAGGTAACTAATTTGTCGTTTTAAAAGGCTGAAGGCGAAAATTTTCGGTTCAAGGGATCTGTGTTTCGATTGTCAGCATGCCCAGAATAGAGCAGGCTGTCTTCGGCAGCCGTTATTTCGGCCATGAGACAGATGGAAAACAGTGTCGCGTGACGATCCAGTCTACAAACACAATCGCTTTTGACAACTTCAAGATGCTATGTCCGTTTTGCATTTGGATCTTTTAGGAGTCATAAACTCCGCTAAGATGTATAATCTTTCGATATTTCCTGTGTGCTTCGTTTTCGGCGATGGCAATTTTTGGCGTACTTTATAACAACAGAGGACGTTTAAAGGTTTGTGATTGTTTTTATTGGGAAAATCCCAAGCTTAGTATTTGTATTCACCCGCAGAATTTGCTGATCGCGACGCTTGTGCTTTGAGTCGAGAGCTATTTGGATTTAGCTTGAAGGAGGAAGATGATTGGGCAAAAGAGGACCAATCTGCTGGAAATTCTGGATCAGATTTGAAGTCTAGTTCAGCTCTTTCGACTGACAGGAAGATCTTGCTTCAACATCACACCGTTTTAGATAAACAAATGGTAAGTGGCAATCAGAGTTAGCGTACATTTGTTATCAATCCATTTTGACAAGGCTTTCTTAGAGTAAAACCCTGGCACAGGAGCCCCAGCAGGTGTCATTTAAGCTCCAATAGTCTTGTAAAAGAGACTCGCTCCGAGTGTAATCATCTCCCTTTGGATATCTGATATTTTCATCATCAATTCGTTGCCGTTGTAACAAGTAGAGTTACAGTAGATGTTAGGGTTCTTGGACACACTTTTGCCCACATGTTGTATAAAGAGTTAGATAATTAGTGGTTGTCGCTAAATAAAAGCCAACATAGCTGTTGTGCCAAGTGATAATGCGATGCAAATAGTGCAATTAACTCTATATCAACTTAGAAAAGCATCAGAAAATTTTATTTCAGCTGTCCTGTCCTGCTCGTAGTGTCACTGGAAGAACTGCCGAGATTCCCTAGAAGATTGTTGTAGACAGCCATCAATGGGGCTGTTTTTGACCTAGGAATAGACAATTCTTTTTCTGTAAGGGAGTCTAACTTTTTGAAGGGAACTAATAAATGAATGGATTTATTCTAGGTCACAAAGTATTATGGCCATAACCCAAAGGTTCGCTATGTTGTTGAACAGCCTGAGCTTCCAGGTATGCTGAAGCTGGTCGGGAAACAAGCTGTGTTGGTCAACGCGCGTCGAAAGGCAAATGGACACAAGAACGCTGAAGAAGATTTCTGGTGGGCTTGCGGGCATTGCTTCTTCGAACGTCGCAAGAAATCTACCATAAAAGCTCACGTCATTCAAAGGGTTTGTCAAAAGTCGGTGGAGAATAAAAAATCAAGAAGAAAGTTGACAGCCCGCCACTTTAGTCAGAGCGACCTAGAGGAGCATAGCTTTGAAGGTTATTCGTGGAAGAGCTCTCTTTCTGTCTAAGATAATGCCAGATGGGAGGTTATCGTTATGTTAAATGTTCGCCTGGGCCTTCTGGAGAGCACTGCCAGCACTGTCACCATACGGTAGTTAAACTTTTGGTACTTTGTCTTTCTTTGAAATTACCAAAGCTGAAATTTAGTTAAGTGCGCATTGAAATGACATAAGTGATATGAAGTATTATGATATGACTAGCTCCTTGAGCGGGTAAGGTAAACCAAATCCTGCACTGTGATTGGCTAGCCGAAGAGGCAGGATGGCGATATCTTGCCTGCTCGGGATTACGCACTGTGTCCCGCAAGAAAAATTTGCTCTCCATCCCATGCAATAAATCCTCAATTGACCTAGCACTGGCCTCGTTCTTTTTTGCGTGGCTATGGACCTCGGCTCCGTCTCGTTTCATAAACACGCCAAAAAAAAAAAAACAACTTGGCCAAAATCCAGCCATCTTGACCGAAAACGCTTGGTCAATAACCCATGTATATGTTTTACAGTGTTTGTGGTCAATTTTTGAATTTTAATTTATGACGCAATGGAAAACGCGTCTTTAAACGTTTTGTACATATACATGTAAAGACGTTGTGTGTGGCTGGTCCACGTAAGAAGTTACATAATGTTTATGTATATTTGAAGAAAGTATGTATATAAATAAGACAGATAAATTTCGTCGATATACGTATTATTTTTAGTAAAATTGGATACCACATTTTAAGACGAACCATTGATTTGGACGCCATTGTTATGCATGCTTCTCGATTTCTGTAGCGATTTTTAATCGCTGGTCTATTTGAACAGTACTTACTTTGAACTCTAACATGAAAATGTACAGGAAGCTCAACCTGAAGATCGCCGCTTTTAAAAAGTGTGCGCTGGAAGAAAATGCTATTGCTTTAAACTTGGAAAAAATATATACCGTAGCTTATACCAGATTATGTTTTTGTGTATTTCATACGTGCATTAGCAGTGTTGTGTATTTTCCATTGCTATTTTCTACATTTTTACTCGGGTAGCGCACCTGTATACTGGCTGATTACATTGATGTAAACGAGCTAAACATACTGACGACTTAAAACTAAATGAGTCCATTGTTTAATTAATATATCTATGGGCCATGAAGTCAAATTGAGCTATAAATTAAAGTTTAGTAATGAAACTCAGATACTTGTGTTTGGTTTAAACGTGTTAGGGAAGCCGAGGAGGGGAAAATGATTTAGCTCCTAAAATGTACTTTTGGTTAATTATTGATTCATCTTTGGACCTCGCTAGAAATGGCTTTGGCTGTTCGCAGTCCCAGCATGCAGCCCTAACGATGTTTTATAGGTTCACGATAGGATCCATCGAGACCTTCTTCTTAAGAAATTGCCGAGGTAATGACTGGTAGCAGCATTTTTTTCAGCATCTTAACTCTGATGAATCGCTACTACTTTTATTTTTCAGTAATCAACACGTGAAGAAAGTTTAAAAAAACTGTTATTGTGTATTCAGAGCTGCCATAAGTTTTCGAAATATTTGGAAAAGGTGATATGAAAGGTGTTTGAAAGCCATTCTACGTTTACGTCATTTTTGAAGAGATGAGTACTTCTAGATCTTGTTAATTTTTTTGGATGATACACCTTTCCACAATGTGCCGTTTCACCATTATAAACGCAACATCGGGCTCAATCAATTAGTTATTTGAGCAACCTTTCTCTGGTGAAGGGTACAATGTATCCGCGAGCATAAAGGTAGACTACGAATAGTGCCTCTTTCGCTTAGTCCGTCGTGCGTGACGCGAAAGAAATTCGCGAGAAAAAAATGGCCGCGCGAAATCCTGGGAGCTAGGAGCGCGCGAAAGGAGGGACTACCGCCTAAGCCCAAGAGTTTGCCCTTTCACGGCCGAGTGATTTTTCGGTGTAGGATTTCTCATCTTGACGTCCTCTTATTATCGCCTGTTATCAATAGTCTCGGGAGATCGGAATAAAATTGCTCTACTCTACTCTTCAAGTAGCCAGGCAAAAACATATGCCGTGTGAAGTATATCTTCGTTCAGTGTTCGTTCAGCGAAACTGTCAAAGAAGTTTTAAAAAGAAGACGGCGAATGAGGCCTCTTGTAACGATTTTCGCTGCGTCTAAAAGTTATTGCGAAAATTTCAACAGAGTTTCAACCGAGAATTTACATTATACATTATACATTATACATAGGAGATCATCCAACTGCGTTGAAATGTTTGCCGATAGCAGCGGAAAATTTCAGGTGAATGTCCGGCGTCAAGTGAGAGTCCGGTTCAATCTTTCAAATGGACGGCAGAAAGGCCAAGCTCAGTGAATTTATATTCGCTGACTTACACGATGCTGTTGAGCGGCGAAATCACTAACACGCTCGCAGTCGGGGTGGAGGCAGAAAACTTTGCCAAACAAAACACTGGATAAATTTAAATCTTTCCAAAGCGCCTGTTGGCAGATTCGCAAGAACATCACGGCTTGCGAAGCGTGATTCCAACGCTTCGATTTGCTCTGGTACCGCTTCGATTTGCTCTGGTTCCGAAACATTCCTGCAGGACGTCACCGGTATCTCGAATGTTGACAACACGTTTTCAACGCTCCTAACATAAGCCAATCATATTTTTGCGTTGTGAGAGCAACGCATAATTCAAACCCTTGGGCTTAGGCGGTAGTTCCTCCTTTCGCGTGCTCCTCGCCTCCAGGATTTCGCGCGGCCATTTTTTTCTCGCGGTTTTCTTTCGCGTCACGCACGACGGACTAAGCGAAAGAGGGACTACTCGTAGTCTAGCATAAAGGTTGATAAAGATAATATGATCAGTTTACGTTTGTTCACGCCCAGAACAACTTGTGGCATCAAAATTCTCTAACAAGTGTGGCTTTGCGTGTCCCCTAGCATCGTAAAAGAGTCAGTACTGCCATACAAGACGAGTGCAACGAAATAACGAATTACAAAAGACCTGAAACGAATATAACACTGTGAAAATATTTTGTAATGTCCAATGTTTACAACAAACCACATGATGAAACGGAAAACGAGCAAGTCTGATGGTGATTATTCAGCCCGGGGCGTTCCCATTCAATAGGGAAGGCGTCTTTGGTCCTAAGTTGGAAGCTAGTAGGAGCGAGTACATGATAAAAAAAGTACCGCAGAACAAACAAACATACATACATACTCTTTATTTCAACTCGAATAATCAGAGTAGCTCTATTGAGTTAAAATCTTCCAGAAAGAAAAATTCATCAATCAATTAGTAATACAATACATAACTAGAACGCTAAAATACTAAAAGCTCATTTTCTTTCTTTTTATCGATTCTTACGAGACTTTGAAACCTGCAAACGTTTGTAAATATGGGATGATGATCCAGAAGTACATTTTCACGATCTCTGATACCAAATTGTCTGGTGGTTTCCCCGGCATAGCTGGCCATTCCGCGCGGTCATAGTTTCCTCAAGGTTTATTTACGGTTACGCTCGACGGACTAAGCGAAAGAGGGACGACTCGTAGTTTATTGTTTCGATAGACAGACAAGAAAGCTGTCTGCCGCTAAAACGCACCAACATTTATGATAATAGTGGCCAATAGCACTATTAGTGCATCCACTCCGAGACTCGACTAAATTGAAATAACAAAAAACACTGAAACAGTGCAAAAGTGGACTGAGAAAGTGTCCACATTTACACTCTATAGTGAGACTCTTTTTGAGGCCACTTTCACGTGAGGACTGTACAGAACGATACTGATACGCCTCAAACAAACCGAGATTGTAGTGTGAATGGGTTTGGGGTGGTTTAACAGTCAACATAAGATTTGGAACGAATCGCGCCCAAGTACACGAACATTGATAGCATTAAAGGCCAAAATAACGCTAAATAACTTCAAAAGAAGAAAGTTAACGAGGCGCACTGTAAAACCGGTGCAGAGGCATAACGTGCATTTTTTCATGGGGTACACAACGAAGGGAAGATGTAGAGCGCCGAAGGCGCCAGCTGCCAAGGTGCGGTTTTTGGGCATGCTTACGCCACCCCCTGCAACAGGAAATGTTTATTTTAAGGGGCCCGGAAATGACATTTCCCACGTTTTCCGGGAAACAATTTCATAAATCAAAACACTGAGTAAACATTAAAACGGTGATTATTTAGTAACTTAAATCTATGTTGTATGTATGTCAACCTTCGGGATAATGGATAGTAGTTTCAATTGGAGCGGGACTGGAGACTGTCGAAGCAGCCGATTTGATAATTAAAGACGCGTTTCGCCAATAATTTATCCATTCATTCATTTATTTTTATTTTATTTTATTATTATTATTATAATAATTAGAGTGTCCACAATCAGTTCTCTAAGCTAAATACTCAGGTGAAAAAGGGGTTAAATACTCAGACACTTAAATAAAGTTAATTAATTAATTAATTAATTAATTCATTCATTCATTCATTTATATATCATAACTTTACTAGATCGGGAGGTCGCGATGCCCTTGCGCTGACTTCTCTATCTATACCACACTCACTCTACTTGTGAGGCCGTGTGTATGTAAGGACTGTACAAACGGAAACGAACAAATGTCAGTGTTTTCAATTATGGACACTTCACGCTCCATTTATCTACATACTTTCCCTTTGAGATTAAAGAGGTAACTGGTTATCCATCCGCCTAAATGCTGAAAAGCAGGCCGAACCGCTGAATTTTACTTAATGTGGGCTGGGGAGTAGTGCGGTGAGTTCTAAAGTATTTAACATCAGAACTGGACTTTCAGGTAACTACTATTCCTTTCACAGAGTATTGAGGTAAGAAAGCATTGAAGGAAATTTTAATTAACCGACCGTTAGCACTTCCGCTGCCAAGTTGAGCGACCTTTTTTATTTCCCCTCCTCAATTCCTGGGTTTATTTGTATTTCACCCTCCCACTCGTCTACCATGAGCGCTATAAAAACACGTTTGGCGAACTGTTTAACACTTCCTTTGCAGCCAACCATAAGGATAACTTCAGATCGAAATCATTCCAAATCTAATTTCAAGGACTCAACGCACAAGTCTATTTGCTTTTCTCCAAATGAGTGGCTGCGAGATCGACGCTTTCCTTGAGGAAAGACTCAACGATATTGACGAGCTTATTCAGTCTGAGCTCGGCTTTGCACCTTTAAATATCACAGTACCACTTACTGCCCCAGAAATCCACAACTTAAGCTTCCTGCTGGAAACAGAAGGAACGTCGATTGGATTACTGACGGACAATATTCTGGGTGAGTACACTTCTTGTGTTTGTTGTCTTCTCCTGATATTGTGGAATATACCATTCTTAGTGCCGAACGAGGGCTAAGTTATGTTCCCAATTAAAGTAGTCATACTCTTTGCATTTTGTGAAATATTGTCATTTCACGCAATTTGCTTTCCTGCATTCCTTGTTGGGTTATAAACCCATTCCTTGTTGTGTTACAAAGAGCGTATAGTATGAAGAACGCATGCTATGTTATAAAGAACGCAAAGTATACCATTCTTAGTGCAATACGAAGGCTAAGGTATGTTCCCGATTAAAGCAGTCAGACTCTTTGCATTTTGTGAAATATTGTCATTTCACGCAACTTCCTATCCTCCATTCCTTTTTGTGTTATACAGAAGGTCGTTAAACGGGATAAATAAGTACTGTAGTGATTTAATGAACGTAGTGATGCAATAGGCCACTTTCGATATATTAAAATTCAGCTTGATACATGTAGTGAGGCATAGAGGACACAAACAAAAGAAATGAATAAAAATGATCATTCAATTTCCTTTGTTTGTGTCCTCTAAGCCTCACTGCCAAGCTGAATTTTAATATATCGAAAACGGTTATTCTGAACGTTGGCTCACTCGAAGAAACGAACGGTTTCTCGCAGTGGTTTCCCTCTTGTTCGTAGCAGCGTAGGACAAACTGGGGTGCAGTGCGGGACTCACTGCCTTGGCGTATGTTCTACAAAGTCTCCAACGCGTCAAAATAATTCCAACAAACTTAAAACATTAATAATCACGAACTCCACAACCATTTTCTGTGGAGTCGGGTCCTAGACAAGTATATACGAGCTATTAAAATATCTTTACAGTTTTAATGGAGTGTAGTGTTGGTTGCAGGGAACGACGCAGCCAGCTCCATCTCCGGTCAAGAGTCGTCAAACAAGGTTTCAGATGTTGAAGTAGAAATCCAATTAATTGACCTCAAAGATGTTTACAATAAAAAGACGAAGAAAACTGATAAAGGATTAAAGTATTGTTTAGAAGACTCGGAAGTAACTCTTGTGGCTCAAGCATCTGATGAAATCACCAGTATTCGTGCTTATACTCAAAGATGTATCGAGGCTGCTATTAGGACACACGATACTGTTGGTAGGATAACTTATAATGTATCTAATGATCGTCATGAAACCAAGACACTTCTTGCTCAATCCTCGAAGTTGCAACTATTAACTTGTAACGGAAGTCGCCAACCCGGCGACTAAAATCGAAAGCTTGAACGGATTATCATCCAGACTGAAAAAATGCTCTGAGCGTTGATAATTCACTTCTTCTGCCATTTTTAACTCAGTAAAATTGAACGAACTTCGTTTCACTTGACTGAACTTTAGCGTGTGATGATTTTACCTTTGAACGAATTGATTGCGATTCTATAGCATGTTGCACTCCGAATTCACTAATTGGTCTTGGTCTTCGCTTTTAATGACTTTGGTATTTTTATATATTTAGGGCCAAGACCAACTAGTGAATTCTTCGTGTAACAATAATAGAATTCTGATTGTGCTTCAGCTACTTTGAGGCCCAGCATTATATGATCATCAATAATAAAAATACGTTATCTGAATCAATTTTAATTGATCTAACTCAGGGATGGCATATTAATTATTAATTATTAATTATTTATTATTTGATCTATTAATTAGTTAATTGATTTTGATTAATTAATGATTTATTGATAAATTAATTTTTATACTTTGGTGACTAAATTTTTTCACTGGTGCGGCGACCGAAAATAAACTTTCAGTGGCCAAATGGCCACCAAGGACAAAAGTTAACCTTAGAGGGTTGTAATGCTATTAAATGACTGAAATAGCTATAGTTCATTATTACACGTTTTTAAACCTATAGGCCCAGTTGAACTAGATATAAATGTTCTTCAAAGTGACTCAAGATGTCGCCGAGTTGTCGCCGTAGATCTTGGGTCGGTGTACAAGACACGAGAGGGTGATGCAGTCTACAGGCTGGAAAAGGCTGATGTCATGGAAAGGAACAAATGGGAAATGTTAATTGCTATGGAATTCAGTTCAGGCTTGAAAGGCACTGTTAAGACGGGAGCATTTAGAGTAACGACCAAAGCAAAGTACAAGATGAAACGAAACGTCGAAGGTTAGTAGCTTTAGAGCATGTTCAGGAAAGTGACAAGTAGCACTAAAAGGTTTTGTTTGTGTGGACTGTAAATGCAGTAGAAAAGAACTAAAACGGTTGCAAACCTGAAATTGAAAGGCGGAGAAAGTGGAAGTTACTTACATTTGCCTCTGAAGTTGCCATGGACGCTTGCGTCCACTGGTTTGTCCGACTCTTCGAGAGCGACTTAATTTGCGAACGTAGAAGTGAACTAATGAGACAAAAAAAACATAACGAAGCCCAAATAAAATGGGGAAATCGGACTGTTGAGGCGACAGGAATTCTCATGCGTTAACTCTTCAAGAAAGGACTTGAGACGGAGAGGGACGGCTAATCACACGACGTACATGAGAGAAAACTGTGTAACTCAGCTGCTAACCGCGGACTCTAAAGTGCCTATGAAGTAAACAATAATTGCTGCTTATTTGAAAGGCTTTTTAAAGTAAAGAAGAATGGCGTTTTCCTTTTTGGAATATGTTTTGTCGTTTTAGAGCTATTCACGTTTTTGTATTATGCAAATGAGGAAAGTGATGACGTCATAGGTGGTTCCACTAAAACAGCACAACATGCAATCGAGAGTAACTCTAGAAAGATTAAAGCAGTATTCTTCAAACTTGCCACCAGTAATGTACATTACAAAAGAAACAGTATGACACCTACTAGGTTGTTGCCATGGTAACACTCGTGGCTCCAGTCTCTTTCTGTGAAAAACCAAATATCCCTATTTGCAACCTTTTAAAGTGGGACAGAGGGTCTTGCTCGGAACACACATGGTTCCCATGTTGTCTTAACTCTCGCCATTAGATTGGTGGGAGTTGACGATCCTTGTTTAAGATAAAATCCGGGAATTTTAGTCTAAATTAAAGCAAAGCCAGCGGCATAACTGTTGTCATGGCAACGGCACGATGGGTCTCATGCTTCTTTTGTGATGTCCATTTCTGGTGCTAAGTTTAAGAACACTGCTTTAATAAAGAGTGTTGTGCTGTTTTGGTGGAACCACCTAAGACGTCATCACTTTCCTCATTTGCATAGTACAAAAATGTAGATATCTCTAAAACGAAAAAATATATTCCAAATAGGAAAACGCCATTCCTCTTTACTTTGAAAAGCCTTTCAAATAAGCAGCAATTATTTATTACTTCATAGGCACTTTAAACAAAACCTTTTGACCTATACCTATTACTGAAGTTAATCTGCCGAACCAAACTGATTCAAACGCCGCTCTTTATCTATGAGTAGTTTCGGCACTCGGGCAGAGCGGTGTTCAACCCGATGATCCCATAAGAATTATATGATAATAATAGTAAATGAAGATTATCGTTTATTTTCTCAGATTCGTCTAGTAATTTTACGACACAGCGGCTATTCGGCAAGTTCACGTGGTCTGACAATAAAAACAACGTGACTGACCTTTCGGGAGGGAATAACTTTCTTCCAAAGCGAGGAATTAATCAAGGTTTGTTGCCAAGTGCGTGTGTGGGTAGCTTTCATTTTCGCATGTACATGAATGAATAATTTTAATATGATAAAAGAAAAATTCTCTGGAAAATATCACGTGGTCTACAATGAGTAAAAAACCGCCCAAGCTAAAGAGGTCTATTCTGCTCAAAAGAAAGCCCGATTGCATGGTGACATCAGACCAGCTAATATCACTACCAAGCCTTGCTTGTAGCTTTTATCATGAAAATATTTCACCTCCTCGTCCTCCCCCTTCTCGTTCTTCTCCTTTATCCCTTCCTCCCTCTCCTCTTCCGTCTCCTCCCCCTCTTCTTTAAGAAGGAGAAGACATCTTCCGCGTTTCTTTTGATTTAAAGAAACTTGAATGGGAGTGTGGGAGAATAAGAAATGCTGTGGGAACAGGGGACGAGTGCGCTGAAAAACTGCGGAAAACTGTTTAAAGCTAACTTAATTCTACAACTCGATAGAAACGCAGCGCAGTGGTCAGTTTTAATCTCTTATAGGAAACACTGCGAGAAAAAGAAAGAGGAATCACTCGTTTATTTGGATTGTCAAATAGTTCATTCTTCTTGCTCGCGCCATCATAACCTTCACTCCTCGAGCTACTAATTCTGTGTTCCCATCGGGTTATAGAAGTACGCCTTTTAGACGAACTTTCTTAAAGTGTCTTTTTTATTCTTTTAAAAAACAGAAAACAAAGGCAGAAAGAACGGCAGCAACGATAACGGCGACAACAGCAACAACGAAAGAAACTAAGCAAACAAACAAAAAAGTGAAAGTGTATTGTTTGTTCGTTGAAGAAACCCTTAGCTTCCTTAATTATATGTATTTTCGTTTTAGAATTCCCGACTGATGAAACTTGTGCTTTGAATCGTGAATTAATGGCATTTAACTTAATGGCCACCGCGCAAAAAGCAGAAGAGAACAACAACAACTACAACAACAAAAGAAACCAAGAAAACAAAAAACTGGAAAATTTCAGTTTTTTGTTTGCCCGTTAGAGAAACCCTTAGTTTGCTGAATTATTTGTATCTTCCTTTTAGAATTCCCGAATTATGAAACTTGTGCTTTGAATCGCGAATTAATGGCATTTAACTTAATGGAGGAGGATCATCCTGAAGCACGATGCCAGTTTGCTGACGATTCTAGGACTGACTTTAAGTCTAGATCAGGCTCTTCGGCTGACGAGAAGATCTCGTTGCAACACCACACAGTTTTAGATAGACACATGGTAAGTGGTAAGGACGCCTTGTTTTAAGCTTGACAAAGTGTGCTGACGGTAAAATGCTCGAACCTAATGGGAAGTTAGACTCAAGCCACCCATCAGGTTCTGCAAGATACGTCCAGTGACTGTATCCATTATAGTTTTATTTCAGGGAAAAATGCTTGATTAGCCATGCACTTATCTGTATCACGAATCTATTCGCCAATCTATTGATAATAATGAATTTGGTTGTGGTATATTTATTGATTCGAAGAAAGTCTTTCATACTGTTAATCATGTAATTCTATTAGATAGACTTAATCATTATGGCATAAGAGGCAATGTGCATGAATGGTATAGATCTTATCTAACCCACAGAGAGCAATTTGTAAATTTTAATGGTCATAACTCATCTTCCCTCTCAGTGAGTTGTGGTGTACCTCAAGGAGGTATTATGTAGTAATGATTTACCCAACACCTCCAGCTCTCCAATATTTCATTTATTTGCGGATGATACTAACCTTCATTTCTCAAGTAAAATCATTAGTCACCTTGAAAAAATCCTAAACCATTGCCAAATGGATGAAATGTAACCTCCTAACACTCAATATCTTAATGGCTATCTGGAGGCTTATGTTGGACTCCTGATAGTGAGGAGCGGGTTTGAAAACCTGCCCTGGTCGTTGTGTTGCGTACCTCTTTCTGCCGGTGTACCTCTTTCTGCCGGTGAACTGGTTAGAGAGTAGCAATACTCCATCTCATTTCATTATACAGAAAGTGGTAAGGGTGTTAGCCTCTTAAACTGACGCTCTTTGGACTAGCCGGAGATGGATGCCTGCGTTACTAGGCTAAAGAAAGCCTGCATAGGGGTCTAAGGCGGCGTAGGTTATTTGCCTTATATTCGACCTTAAATGTTTTCGTGGTAGAGAAATCTTCGCTCACAAGATCCAAGTAAACTCCAAATACTTTTCTCCTTTAGTTTTGCACTGTTAAAGAAAATTAATGAATTAATTAATATATTCCAGGTCACAACGTATTACCGTCACAACCCAAAGATTCGCTATGTTATAGAGCAGTCTGACCTCCCTGGTATGTTGAAGCTGGTTGGAAAACGCTCTTTGCAGGTCAGCGCGGGTCACAAGACAGATTGTCGCAAGAGCACTAAGCAAGTTTTCTGGTGGGCCTGTGGGCGTTGTTTCTTCGAACGTCAGAAGAAATCGAGTATAAAAGCTCACATCATTCAAAGGGTTTGTCAAAGGCCGATAAAAGTTAAAGCGCCAAGGAGAAAATCAACAAGTTTGAGTCAGAGCGAGTTGGAGGAAGACACGTTCGAAGGATATTCGTTGACGGACTCTCTTTTTGCCTAAGGTTATTGCTTATCGGCCGGTAAAATGTGTGCAATTAATATATACTTTCCTGGTGTAGACTAGTTACATAGCAGCATGTGTTTTTTTGTTGTTGTAAATATGAAAATAAGTTAAGCATACATGTCTTTATGCACTGGTGTTCTAAAAATTTATAGTATTTGTGGTTAGCTTTGATTTGTAATTTATGACGCATTGAAGAACATCTCTACAAGCTGCACACATGAAGCTGTCTAGTAGATAGTAGGTGGTCCACAAGATAATAATTGTGGAAGTATATATGCATTTTACTGCAAACGACTTTGGACTTTTTAAAAAAAAATGCAGTCACAGAATGTAAATAGTGGGTAAAGGACTGTAAAGCCGATTCTAAGTCACCCAGCCCGGTTCCTGTGGGTTCCCAGTGTATCATGGTTTCAATTCATTCTCCATTTCTTGGAGTGTAACTAAACTTACTCATTTGAGTCGAAAAACAAAATAATGCTTTTGAAAATATATGGTTAACATCTTGAATTTTGCATACAGAAATGTGTAATACTATTGCTACAGTAACCCTAAGTAGATGAGTACAATTTATTCACCAATGCTTGGGAAATTGTTTATGTAGCAACGTCTCCTAAAGAGTGGTAATGCTGTTCCATCAAACGATAAGAGCTGGAAACCTCTGGCTACGATTACCAGCCATCTGCTGAACAATGTTCCTTAATTTAAATAGTGAAGCAAAATACTGACAGTAGGATGGTTCAGTTTAAATCATTTAGGGCGCTCAAGGAGTATCGAAAAGCAACAGTAACTGAGTAAAGTTCACTTTGGAACCAGAGCTGTGAGGCTTAAAACTGAATACAGTTGAACTTCTCCACAGCGGCCACCGTAACTTAGGGATGAGAACAGCGGTGGCCAGTTTTCGATCAATGTTATGCTTAAATGCTTGTATAAAATGTGGTATGTGCTTATGGTTTCAAAATACACTATAGAAACCCTTCTAATGAGGACTGGGACGTTTTACTCAGTTAAGCATAGTCACCATTGGAAACCAAGAATCTATTGTAGAGAAACGTTTGTTAATCCTTTGAAAAATCTCAAGACAATGATTTATTATGAATCCTTTCGTTTCCTTCACCTCATACCATTCTTTACTTTTATCTTTCCTTTGTTCATGGCGATGAGAAGCCATGAATGGGTAACCCTGCGATGGACTAGCATCACATCCAGGGGGGAATAGAAATACTCCTAGTCGCTTCATGCTACTGAAACCGGGATAAGCTCCGGCCTGATGAGCCACTTGTCGCGTATGCAGACTTTACTTTTAGAGTCATAATACCACAAGGACAGCACCGCGTCTCGTCCGCTCAACAAAGTTAAGCCCTGTTCGGTGGGCTCATGCTTGGATTTGTTACCAAATACGAATACCCCGAGTTGTAATAACTTCTTTTTTTTTTCTTTTTTCGTCCCTTTCCAAGGCGATATTAGTAACTGCTGAACTCCCAGTTTTGTGTAATGTCTCTTGTTTCTATTTATCAACTACTTTGTTCAAATCATTTCGCCATGTCTGTATTCATCTTTATAGCATTTATTTACAATACAGGGGCACCCAACGACCGTTTTCTCTCAAATGCTTTTAAACGCTGTTTTAGGCTATCTGGAGTACTTTTGAAGCTCTGCAGGTTAATTTTAGGTTGCGCTAAAAAGTTTTTATCTGTTCGGTTATTCTAGGGGAACTTGGGTATTGTCGAATTTATTAGGGCTTTTTTGTCCATTCCCCGAAAACCTTAGGTCTTATCGCCTTTCCGAAAATGATAGCTGACCTTTTTTCGGTACCCAAAACAACATTTTTTTACGATCCGAGAACAACAGACATTAAATTTCTCATATCACGAAAGTTCAAGGTGACAATTCTCTTCAGAAAATCAGAGGGGATTAAAGGACCTCCGAACAGATAATTTACCGAAACCATCCGTTGGGTGCCCCTGACAATATTGTATAAATAATAGCGAAACGCTTCGTTCGAATTCTCCTCAATTCACTTGTCTGTTGATCGTCCAAAACTTTTAATCACGGCTTGAATAATAATTCGAAAATTCTTACAGCTCATCAATGTTTTGATTTTCAATATCTCAGTTTTCGGCAATCGAATACGGTTAACCTGTATAAGCGGACACCTTCGGGAAATGAGCTATGTATAAAAACGTTCGTGCGAAAATCTATTCAATGTAGAGCGGGTGTATTTACTTGTTCCCGAACGTAGTGATTTCTCTCATTGAGCGAATGTACAAGGGCTGACGCGGGGGACTTTTATCCCTTTTGAGCGCCAAATTTACTGGAGGTATTCAAACAAGACAAGTAAAGATGTTACTGTGGAATCCCGCTCCAGTAACAGTGTAATTGGAAACCTACGTGATCGCGCGCCGACTACGTGACAAATAAGTTTCTTTCACGTGATTCACGCAGCACTATTATTGCATCCGCTCCGAGACTCGACGAAAACCATTGAAAGAGTTCAAAAGTAGACTAAAAAAGTGTCCACATTTATACTCTCCACAGTAGGACTCTTTGTGCGGCCACTTTCACTCGAGACTGTACATAACGATACTGATACGCTTCAAACAAACCCAGATTGTAGTGTGAAGGGGTTTGGAGTGGTTAAACAATCAAGATAAGATTTGGAACGAATCGCGCCCGAGCACACGTACATTTACAGCTCTAAAGGCCAATGTTAACTCGATTGAATAACGTTAAATAACGTCAAACGAAGACAGTTGAAGAAGTGCACTGCAAAACTGGTGCAGAGGTATAGCATGCATTTTTTTTATGGAGTAAACAACAAAGAGACGCGGTGAGACGCGGTGGCCTCATGGTTAGTGCGCTCGTCTCCGGATCGAGTGGTCCGGGTTCGAGCCCTGGCCGGGGACATTGTGTTGTGTTCTTGGGCAAGACACTTCACTCTCACAGTGCCTCTCTCCACCCACGTGTATAAATGGGTACCGGCGAACTTAATACTGGGGGTAACCCTGCGATGGACTAGCATCCCATCTAGGGTTGTCCACAAGTTGCTCCAATTTTCTCAAAAAGTTGCTCAAAAGTTGCTCCAAAACTCTAATAAGTTGCTC